CCTCCGGGAGCGCTCGCACGTCCTCTGCGGCCGCTTCTGAGTGCGACACGCCTGTAGTTGGAGATCCTTAAGTTACATAGTTCTGTGTTAAAATAGTTTCATTCTGTTTAACATGATCCTTGGAAAAGCTAAGAAAAAATCCGCCTATCCTGTGCCTCGGCTGCCCGCCTCCAGCTGACTTTCCTCGCCAACAGTCAGGGATCGGCTGTTGCTTCTCTTCTGATCCTCGCCGGCTTGCCTTTTGGAGAGGCGGTATTGGGAACAGTTTTCAGGCTGGGGACTCTGGAAGCCATTCAGCTCTTTACTGACCGGGACAGTGAGCGAGCTCTCTGGTTCCCCAGTTTTCTATCTGGAGATGGATCTCGTAGAGGTACCCATCTCAAAGGGCTGTTGGGGCCGGGGGAGGGGGTGAAGAACTGTGCCTGGCTCCTAGAAGAGCCCAGAATATATTAGCTCTTGTTATTGCTGTTAGTGTGACAGCTACCCACATTCACGAGAGGGAAACTTAAGACCTAAACGCGTTGGCACTTGCCAACTTGCCATTGTCTCCTAACATTGTTTTAGTCATATTTTAGATTTGTTAACGTTTAATTAGATTATTGCCAGTTAGTAGCTGAAATATACACATGTGCAGATCCAGTTGAGCAAACTTAAAAAAAATCACAGCTAAATATAAGTCATAAAATATACTGTAAATATAGTCTTTAAAATAAGGCATACAAAACATGCCTAATCTAATTTACCAGTGGATACTATTTGGGGTATCATTTACTCAACAGATACCAATTCTTTGTTTTTCATTAAGTACTGAGTGCCTACTATGCTAGGTATTGAAGATGCAGAGTAGTGACCCAGACCCTCCTTCAAGGAGGTTTTGGGAATGTTGCAGGTAAAGAGGTAAATTTTCACAATACTGATGTGGAACCACATGGAAAGCATGCCCAACTTTTTCATTCATTCATTTCTTTAAAAAAATGTATTTTTTGAGCACTATTTGCTAGGCACTGTTCTTTATTCTCGGAACAAACGCAAGTCCTTTGGAGCTTGCATTCTAGTGAGAGGAAACAGACAATAAACATCCAGACAGTACTATGCCTGGAAATCCTACGGAGAAAAATCAAAAGGAGAGGGTTGGAGGAGAGGATGTTGCTATTTTATACAGGCTGTCAAGAAAGACCTTGAAGGAAAGACTTGAAAAAAGTGAGAGGCTGAACCACAGAAGAGTGTTCTAGGAAGAAGCAATAGTAGAGGGTCTGAGGAAAGAACAGAGGACTTGGCATGTAGGAAGGGCGAGGAGGCTGGAGCAGCTTGTGCAAAGAGGAGGCATTAAGCAGTGAGTTTAGAGTTGTAGTCAAGATTGATTGAGAGCAGGTTTCTCAACTGTGGCGCTGTTAACATTTTGAGTGGGATAATTCCTTGCTATGGGGCTGTCCTATGCGTGGTAGGATGCTTCACAGCATCCCTGGCCTATACCCACTAGATGCCAGTAGCACCTCCTCCCCAAGTTGGGCTACCAAAAATGTCTACAATTCTCCGGATGCTTCCTAGGGGGCAAAATTCCTCCAGTTGAGAACCACTGATACAGTGTCACCTGTCCAGAAGTGCTGAAGAAGTGAAAATATTCTATGTCTGGGCTAATATGGTAACCATCAATGCATGTGGCTACAGAGCTCTTGTAATGTGGCTAGTACAACTGAGGAACTGAATTTTAATTTTAATTTTAATTAAATTTTAATAGCCACATATGGCTAATGAATACTCTTAGATAGTACAGTCTGGAACCTTGCAGGCCACTGTAAAGACTTTGGCTTTTATCTCTTACCCTTCTGCCTGCATTTCCTATTATTCTCTGTCTCTCACTCCAGACTAGTCACAGTGGTTCCCATGCTGTTTGTTCCTTGAACTTGTCATGCAGGTCCTTGCCTCAGTCTCTGTTCTTGCTGTTCTGCCTGGCACAGTCTCCCCTCAAATATCCGAATGGCTCACTTTCCCTTATTTCATTCAGGTCCTTGCTCAACAGTCACTTATCAAAGAGGTATTATCATCTCTTATCATAATCCTGTTTAAAATCATCACCTACAATGCCATGCTTACTTACACCTTCCCTACCCACTTAATTTTAATTTTTCTCTCTAGTACTTATACTGTAGGTTTGTTACCGCCCCCCCCCCCGCCCCCGGTAGAATGTGAGTTCTCTGAGTCAGAGGTTTTTGTTTCCTTCCATTGCCTGTTTCAGAGCATGGCACATAGTAGGTATGCAGTAAATATTTGTTGAATAATTGAATGAATTGCAAAGCCATTGGAAAATTATAAACTGAGGAATGGCATGATCTGACTAGTTTTCAAACTGCATCATTTTGGCTGCTGGTGTATAGAACAGACCGCACAAAAGGCAAGGGAAGAGGCAGGGAACCCAGTTAGAAGACTACTACAATAGTCCATGAGAGTGGAGGACATGAGAGTGAGTCAGGGCTGATGGCAAGGTTTTGGTTTGGGCAACTGGAGTTGCTGTTTACTGAAAGGAGGAAGACTGGAAGAAGTAGGTTTCAGTGGAGAAATCCGGAGTTATTAGGAGAGATTAGTCTTTGTGGAGAGTGTAGTGATGCCCAAGAAGATTAAGCAAAGAATGAGGGGTGAGGTGGAAAGAGAACCACAGGTAAAAGGAATGAAAAAGAATTACAGGGAAAGGGAGCAGTAGTGAAAACTGCATGGAATAAAACAGCATGGCTAGAGCAAGGGGTGGTACAGAAGCCATGGCAGAAAGAGAAATGTAGAAAAATCCTAACAGGAAGGGCTCAGCACCAGGCAAGACCAGCTGCCTTTTAACTGCTGTGTAAGTCTGAGCACAGTGGGATGTGCTGATTGCCTTAAAACTTACGCTGGAACTTGAATACAACCGGTCCCCACACCTCTTTGAGCTGTTTTCATTAGATTCCATTCTTGTGGTTTTGATTACTGAATACTTTGAGAAAAAGTTTTCTAGAGTAGAGTGGTTTGGGGTATTAGACCTGTTAAAATATCCATTCATTCAACAGTGGTAAATTATTTAAGTACCTGTTGATAGGGAAGTTCTTAAATGTCCTGGAAACTGAGTTTCTAAGAAGCCTCTATGAATTTAATAGTTTACTTTCCAGGGAAACATGAAGAACCTTGTTTCTTTAGATCTGTGGTTTTCAAACCTAGGCATGTATCAAAACCACCAGGAAGACTTCTTGAATGACTGATTGGCACTGCACCTGATCAAAAATTTAGTATTTCTAACAAGTTCTCAGGTGATGCCTCTTCTGCTGTTCTGGGGAGCACCCTGGAAGAATCACTGCTGGTAGGAGAGAATGAAACATCAACCAGCCATGTTTGTACCAGACCACATCCTTTGTCTCTGAAATCACTGATCCTCAGGCAAGCCTATCCCTCTCCACTTGAGTATATTAGATCCATTCATGCCCTACACTTGGAGGAAAAACTGCATGGCACTACTGTTTGAGGAGGAAACACTGGCTTTTTTCAATTCCATCTTTCCAACTATTAGTTGTGTGACTTTAGTCAAGTTATTTAACCTTTCTGAGCCTTGGTGTCTAAAAAGCAGTGTTCATATCTACCTTTGGGTTGTTTTAACAATTTGAGGTGATACATACACAGTAGCTGGTACACAGTGATTTAGTAAAACAGAAACCATTTCTTCTCCAATGTGCAGTACACATAAATGAGGCATGAGCCTCTCTCCCATTTTTAGTTTTTATTCAGTGTTAATACTGGATTGCCTCCATTTCAAATACTGATATACAGCCCAAACTTCTGGCCTTGTTAGCAGTTGATTCTTGAAATCAGTCTAGATCTTATGTTATGAAAGCAGTCTAATTTGTTTATCTTGGAAGTGTATTTAATATTTGATTGCTTCCCAGCATTCCTCAAATTTCAGAAAAGAAAAAATGGAAAGTCTAGATAACCCCAATTATTTTATCTAAACACCTCAATACATTTAATAGTCTAAGATCATATGACCATAAATCATAGATGCAGAATTCTAGATTTAGAATGCTTCAATAACTTTCTCTGTTTTTCAAAGCATAGCATTTATAATATGTACACATCACTTTAATTAACACAATTATTCTTTCATTTCCAGTGCTCTTTCACATCAAAGACATGCTCTTTCTACTCTGTCCCCCATTTTTTCAAGTTGCAAGTTAGAGCAAACAGTGTAGGGGGTTTTCCTTTGTAAGAGAACCAAGAGCAGGAGCTCTCCCACCCAAGGGCCTCACTTTTAGATACACATCACTAACCGGCTTCAACATTTTGCCATTGAAATCCTTTTGTAGGAAGTAATTTTCAAAATTTACATCTTATTTCAAAGTGACTTCCCAGCCTTTTTTTGTTTTAAGTTCTGCCAGAGGCTTTACATCCCTGGAGTTACCAGTCTAGATCAGTCCATTTACTGTCTTGCTTTTGGCGAATTCTGGTGTCTGTCTTCCACCTACAAAGTTTGCAGAGGGCCCTGTATCACACTGAAACCATTTACTCGAAATGACTTTAGTAACCAGCATTCTGTCAACTTGTAATTCCTACATATGAACATGGACATTACTTTAAATAATGTCTAAAAATATCTATTTTGTGTAAACTATATTGTTCTGTTTTTTAAAATCACTCAATAATCTGAATATGGTAATATTAACTGTAATACCTCCTTCTCTTATGAAACAGAAATTTCTTAGTTAATATATACCTTAAGTCTAATTCCTTCTGAAGCAATGTGCTACATAAAACTGAACACTTCATTACCAACAAGGACAATGTTTTATTGAACAAATCTATGTACAGTACAAAAAATTTCTTGAAATGAGACACTATTGTTGATTTATTGCAGTTCAATGGCTCAGTTTTAATTTGTACTCTTATAAAATGCAAAGTAAAATAATTTAATGTTCAACAAGGAAGCACAAATTTCCTTTCTTGCTGAATCTGTAATATCTTTCACATATTAACAGTCCCAAAATGCATATGCAGCATTTAGTCATTCTGAAAAGGTGTTTTACAGTACCAAATAAATTAAAAAATAAACACTATCATCCCTTTTAGGTTTTTCATCCATACTACAGTTTAAACCAAACATGAAAGGAGTACAGCTGAACCTTCAAGTGTGATTTGAGAAGAATCACAAGTTCAGTGTTATAAGTTATCTATTCATTATATAATTGGTGTTTTTAAAAAAATGAATATGGCTAAAGCCCAAAGTACCAGTGTCCTTGTCCACGGAGGTTCTTTTCTATCTTCTCCATAGTATCTGAGCAGCAAAAATTCAGATTTGCTATTTTTTTTTACCTTACTGAAACAGCAGAAAGTTAATATTTAATGTTTCAAAGGAAATTTTTATTTAAAAACAAAAAATTGAAACTTGGTCCATGTAAGATAAACACATCCTCAAAACAGAAGTAGAAAAGAAAATGAGAAGAATTTGAGGGATAAGAAGAAAGTTTCCTTATCTTCTGAACCCCGCATTAGAACTGTTGGAAGTTTATGCACCCTATAAAAGCAAAATGATGTACATTTATGTTTTATAAGGCATACATAAGAAAATGTACACATTCTTTCAACGGCAGTTATTTGATACACATATAAAGAGGTTAGAACAATGGTCAGAATTTCATAAAACATTCCTTGATTTATGATTTATTGGTTTATGTATAAACCCATTTGACCTCAGACGTCCAGAAACAGTTTTCCCTTAGCAACACAAAAGTAGAAATAAAACCTCAAATTAAAGACAAAAAAATAACAAGTGGATTATGTTTAAAAACATCTTGGTATGAACTGCAAAATGAATGAAAATAACAATCTGTAGACATGGATTTATGTCAATAGTTACAACTTAGAAAAAATTAAAAGTTAAAGATGTGATAAAATGTTAAGCTGTGATTTTAAACTTCTGAAAAATGTACAAAGCAGAAATTGTATTTCAAAAAAACTTCATTGTCCCTTTGAACTAGTTTCCAAACCGACTTATTACATGATGTATTTTAGACTGAACTGAAATAGAACTCCAGTATTACATTTTTAGTATCAGGAAGTATGGAAAACACTTTTTTCTTTAGTTAACCTTAAAGGATTTTAAACTGTGTTAGGAGTTGTGTTTACTTATGTTATTTAAATGTAAATTCCACAGCCTAACGTAGGCTACATTAAACAACAAAAACCTGATTTGATTGGAATGGATTCATGACTATCAGCTGCATAGTGGTGAATGCCTATGATAAGTAAACTAACAGACCTGGGAGGGTTTGTTTGGATATCTGATCTGCCATGATCTAGTAATCCTATTTTAATAAAGTTTGGATGCTACCCTGGAGGAAAAGCCCCACTTCCTCAGTAACTTCATTCAAGACGCTTTAATGTTTAAAAATTTATAATAGAGTTTGATGAGATTATATGCTTTGAACAAGAATGTGTCAGAATAACTGGAATATTTGGTATATTAATAGCTCTGTTTCTAAAGAATTTGCCTTTGCATTTTTGTTCATTTTACCCCTGCTATAGATTAACACACTATTATGTAAAAGGAGGTCTTTAAGCATCCTCTTTTAGAGACTGTACAAGTGGAACACATCTGAGAGGGTATTTTTAAAAACTTTTTTGTTTTACAATTTATTAAATTAAAATCTTCCTTAGGAAAATTACTGGTCATTAAGGAAAATAAATGCATCAGCATATCTTATTGTGTTCTTGCTGTGCAAATGTTTGTGTAAATATTTCCTTTTATATATAAAAATTACTATTCAAATCAAATTTACCAGAAATAAGAAAGCATGAGTAATATGGCTTATTTTAGAATTAACTCTCCTAATTGAATAAAACCAATGAATTCTTAATGATTCTCGGCTGCATTTTTTTTCAGCCAGTTATTCTTATAGGACTGTACTTGGATAACACATTAATGTCTAACTATGAATCATCAAGTAATGTCCTAACCCTACTCTACATACAAACAGAAATATCCCAGTGTGCTTATACCATTATTCACATTGAATAATTAACTTGCAATTCAGTGTTTTCCTTCAACCAAGATAGCCTTAATGGTCTTAGATTCCTCTCATCTCTCCCAAGTTACTGACTGTATGTTTTCTACTGACGCTGCTGCCTTTTAAATATAACTCATTGGTATTACAAAAATGGAAAGTGAAAGGTTCTGTCAAGAGCTAAAGCTTATAGCAAAGTACTGTTTTATTTTTTAATTTTCAATGCTGACATGTCATTCATTGAACTTTGATCTAATCAATCACCTGGAAACAAGTCACAATCTTTTATGGATAGCATGGTGATAAATCAAGTTTAATTTTCATCTATCAGTTTCTAAATTATAATAAACCAAACAGAAATGGTTCCTTAAAGTGTATTTGACCAGGAAGGAGGACATAATCTGATTATGCATGACAAGAAAACAAATCCCATTTGTAGAATACTTTTGAAGTTGTTTATTGTAAACCGACCCTCCCCCTTTTTTTAGAATGGGTTAGTTTTTCCCTTTCTGTAAGGCCATAGCTGGTTATTCTGTCTAGTTGAACACGTTTCTCACGTAAGCGAAACTGAACATGCTGCTATCGATCATCAACTTCTTAAAAAATGTGGTTTTCTGGATAACTGGTACTTTGGGAGTTTTGTAAATAACCCTTTTGGAGTCTAAACCAGCACATCTCCTCTGTGAGTTCATTCTAGAAAATGTGCTTTGTCTTTATCTTTAGTAATCCAAGACCGCTCTAAAATTAAGGCCATCAGGGAAATAGCAAACTGATGATGCATTTTCTTGTAGTGCTTTTTTGCACACTACTGCTTGATCGACAGATCTTTCTGAAACATTTTTATCAGGCACCTGTAAAACAGAACATGTCTGTTAATTCAAATTTTATAGACTTTCAACTAGAATTCTAATTTAGATTTCCTGTTCATACCCTTACTCATTGAAAGAATATTAGTATTAGTAGAAAGGCAAGCTCTTCTTTTGTTCAATTTTGTTTTTCAGTTATTATCTGGTTCTTCTTCTTTTTATTTCTGTAATAGAGGCTCAACTTGGTTTACATTCCAGCATGCAGATGAAAAACAATTCCATCATAATTACTTTGTCTTAGACCTTTTATTACATGAAACTTGGAATGAAGAAAAGCCTCAGATACAGTTAAAGAGCATGATCCAAAAGTATGAAAAAACCATTCAAGTTCTGGCTTCCACAAGTTCATAGGCCTAGGCCTATGCAAATTACTTGACTTGTGAATGTCAGTTGCTTGATCTATAAAACAGGAATAGTAACATCATGGTGGTTGTATGGTTAAAAGGAATTAATGTATGAGGTAGTGCTTTATTATCTGTGTTATACAAATGTTAGTTTTTTAACCTCCTAAAGATTTATGGTATTTTCTATTTCTACAGATAAACCTACTGAGAAGATAGAAGACTTACTTTCATCATCTGAATCAAATCCAAAGAGTGTCTGACATTTCTTTTGTGCAAGGTGAGCCTCAAGTGCTTCTGCATTACAGTAGGTGGTCAGGCATTTGCCACATCTTAGTCTTTTCACTGATTTTTTACAAACGTTATCTTGATCAGAACAGGCATCTACCCTATCAGTCAGAAATTTTCTGCGTTTTGGCATACTAAGGTACCGTTCATCAAGGTAACTGGGAGGCAATGGTCTGACATATGGCTTTGTTAAAATTAAGCCATATGAAGTATGTTCACTTGTCAGATTTGGTTTGGAAGGTGCCTGAGATACTGGCAGGGTATTGTGTTCTTGTGGTACAACACTGGGTAAAATGGAACCGTTTTCTGTCCTGATTCTATTTGTATCAGTTTTCAAAGCGGGATCTGACGAAACTAAAGGTGTCTGCTCTATTCCACTGTGTCCATTGACTAAATCACTAATACTACAGTTATTTTCAGAATTTGGCTCTATGTCAGGCATCTTTTGGTCTATCAAGCTTATACCAGAAATAGTGTCACCAGAATGTTCATTTCCATTCTGAACTAAACGGTCTGTTTTCCTTTCCATACTTTCTATACACGTCTTTGGTTCTGTAGAATCTTTTCTTGACTTGCTAGTAGAAACTGGCAGACTAATGGTTTGTTTCTCATTACTAGATGAGTCTTTTTCTTGATGATTAGAACTTGAGTCTGTGAGAACATCCCAAAGAACTGCCTCACTTGGTTGAGCAGATGATTCTGGTGTTTTACTTAAATAATGCTGAGCTTCATGTTCATATAGCAGAGGAAGATCTTCAAAAAGCTCATGGCATTCTGGAAAACTACACTGAGCTTGAAATATCCTGTGACTCTTTGTGTGCTGAGCAAGTTGGAATGGCAGCTTGAATGACTCATTGCAATTAAAATGCAAACAAAAGTACACATTTGGATAGCTGTGTCTATTAAGGTGATCTATAAAATGCTGAGAGTCTTCAAATTGCCTTTGACAAAATTTGCACTTTCCTTTGCTCCACTTCATTACTGTTTGCCGCACATTTAAATCAGTTGGGTGTACAGTCATTGCGTGCTTATTCAGAAAACCAATTCTTTTAAATATCCTGAGACAGCCAAGAGCAGGGCACTTAAAGTTTCCTTCTTGATCTGTCGCATATATGTCTTTTGGATGGCACACAGCTCCATTGATTTTATGAAGTACTGAAGTTTCTTGATTCAGATCATAATCATCTTCTTCATAATCACCTTCTTCGTCTTCTTCCTCCTCATAGTCATCCACACACGCAGGTAAAGGCTCCGCGATGCTATTTAAAGAAGTATCAGGACTGCCATTTTCAATAATGTTTTCAATAACATCTTCCGATACACTTACGGGAATTTCAATGAATTCAGCCACGTGCGCAGGGATGGTGTCTTTGTTTCCATCACTGGAAGCAGTAATGGTCTCTACTTCCAAATCCTTATTATCAGAATTCCCATTTTCAAATGAAATGAAAGTATCAGAATAATTTATTTCTTCCAAAGCAGGATTTTCCTGATCCTCCTGTTGAGCTGCTGCAATTTGCTGTCTCTGTATTTTCTTAACGTGATTTTTTAAATGCTTCTGCATAAGTCCTCTGTTTCTAAATTTTCGACCACATATTACACATGAAAAACTGCCTTTTTTCTGGTGAGCCTGAGCATGTCTTACAATGTGACCACCTAGAAATTCCTTGTTACATAACATACACCGATGCCTCGGGACGTTATGATCTACTTTGGAAGTGTTAAGAGCTGTAACGTTTTTCTTTGCACTCATATGACCTTTTGGTTGCACTCCAGAAACATCGTCAGGATCAAGCTCTCCAGTACTCTGATCTGTAAGAAAGTCAAGCCCTTCATCTAAACTTTGCTGTTCCATTGCCTTTTTCACATTACCTGCAGAATTTTCCAGTGTACTTTCATTTAGAAATCTAACTGCTGATTTATCACTCAGTAATGCTACACAGTTTTTCTTAATCATTACAAATTCCAGAATTCAGGATCAAAAAACAATCCCTTTTTCAAAATCGGAAGTAATTCAAAACGAACACGGTTTTGAACACTACTTGTGCCTTCATTGTATTCTTCATCTGGACGTTTGTAAAGTTCTTCAACAGTATGATAAGCTTCCAAGGAACGTTCAAGAAAAAATATTGAGAGTGCACAAATCCTGAGGATCTCCAAATCATTTGGCAAAAAATGTGCAATTGTTTTATAAATTAGACATTTTGTTTTGGGATCATCATGAAGGTCTAATTGTAGAGCACAACCACATATTTCAACACAAATTTGTAAGCCTTCTTCTTCCACCTATGAAAAGAAAAATATTACTACTAAATACCTTCTTAAAAATTGTTAACACTTACTAGTTTATCTTTTTAAAAGACAACTCTGAAATTAAAGCTGAATAAACACATATTCCAAATGTGCATTTTCTTCAGTGGGTAGCTTTGCTTAACTCCTTAATATATAAATAAATCTTTCTTTTTAAACTTGAGAATAAATGGAAAGGTAGCATTTTAAAAAGCTTCCAATTTATTTAATTCTCAAGTCTGACAAGCCCTACTAACCATAATACAAAATGCTTCACAACCTTATGGTGATTAAAAATACAAAATGCTTCATAAACTTATGATGACTGAAGCATCTTACAAATCTAGGACCCTATTTTAAGGCACCAACCTCACATTCTGTGGCAGAGTAATACTTATTAAATAATATTATTTATCCAAATAAGGGGAGAAGTGTGAACACGAACAGGACAGTTACAAACTTTCCAAATCTATTAAGGTATCAGAATAATGAACCTACTGGAAGTTAACTGAAAATAATTCAAGCTTTGAAACTTTTCCTGATGATTCAGAGATAACTGCATCAGCTTTTAGTTGGGAATTTGTTGTCTATCCATCTCAATTCAAATTATAAATAATGCCTCTAGTGATTTGGAATGATCTAAATGTTTGTTTGAATAGAAAGACGTAAAATAATATGTCTTTAAAAGTGTGTATGTGTGTGTCATACCGCCTGTATGTGGTATATTATAAATGACCAAGAGGAACACTTCCTTGCCAGCCTCATGTCCTCTCAGTTTCTTACATGTTATGTAACCCTTACTTACAGTTCCACAAGGAGACCTTAACTTCGCACATTGCTTTCCCTAGCTGGTAAATTCCTACCCATCTCCTGTTCATTCTTTGAGAATCAATTCTGCTTTGAAGGTTTTTCTCATTCATTCTGGCTCCTGCCCTGGGTTACAGTTAAACACTCCCTATTCTTTCCACTGAAAATAACTTACACTTATTTCCTAAGAGCACATATATGCTGTTTTATAACTGTCTATGCCTCTTCTCCTTGGCTTTGAATTCCCAAATCACAGGGATAGCGTCCCATTTTTTGTTTATCCTGTGTTTAGCATAGGAGATGGCATACAGTGACCTCTGAACAAATGTCTGCAGAATGGTTGAGATCATTCATTCCACTGACTTTAGTTTTCTCCTATAAATCTACCATTGCTAGCTTGGAATCCTTTTCTGAATTCAGATTTCTTATTTCTGTCTGTTACAATTAGATATTCCTATTTACACTTTCCAGATAAAGCAAATTCAAATCCATTGCTTCAAAACAGAATTCATTCTTTCTCCAAAGTTATCTACATTCTTTGTCTTCCCTCATGAAATTGTAATGTGCCCAGTTGCTGAAGTTTACGAACATCAGGATCATCACAAAAAGGAACAGGATACTTCCTTACCTGAAATCCTTTAACAATTCCAGTGTATTTGTGGAGTGAAGTTTCAGCTTTTGTCTAGTATTGAGTCCCTTCAGGATCTCTAGCAACCCCACCCCCAAAAAAACTAAACTCTGATTAGTTCCATCTTCTACACACGTCCACAGACTTCCCTGCCACTGGACAGTTGTGAGAACTAACTAGTAAAATGAGGAAAAGGAGCTCTATAAACTACAAACTCCTCTAAAAATATTCATATTATCCTCATCTATCATTTAAAACCCAGCTGAAAGCATCTTCCTCTGTAAAGCCTTTTCCAATATGCTATCTGTAACGTCTCCTCCTGAACTCACACGGCATTGCCTGTCCCTCTTTTCACAGCACGGAGGCACGTGACTGATCTAGTCCACAAGATAAAAATGTTTTTAGTAGAGTGTATTGAAAAATTCAAATACTTATTTCATCTTTGAATTTTTCCTCTTATCATGTATTCTTAGGTTGACCAGACATGTGAAAATGAGAAAGCTCTGTGATGCTTGGCTGAACTTCACCTAGATGAAAACGTTCTATATAACAAAGCCTCTCAATTTTTGGTACAAATGAGAATCATATGTTAAAAAAAGATGGACACATCTTTATTTCTTAAAAAGTTTTACAGGTGATTCTGATGCACTTCCAATATTAAGAAGTATTCTTTCTACAGCATAGTTTGTCTTTTTTCCTCCAGTTTTTGGTGAGGAGAGAGGTAAACTTTGACAATGCATTTGAATGACATTTTACTATTTAATAATGAAGCTATTAATGCAGTTAGCACAAAAAAAATGAGAAATAAAACAGAAAAACAAACCATCTGATATAATGCTGCTTTGTATCACGAGAATATGATCACTGCACGGTCATTACATCTAATGAGTGATGTGATAATGAATGTGATAAACACATAAATATATAAAAAATATTATTTAGTGGATGCCTCCTTATATATTTAAAAGTAACTCACATAACAATTCAGTTAAACAGAGCTACCTAAAATGTAGGGTAGCTTTATCATTCCTATCTTTGTAGTCAAAGTTCTGTTCATATTT